ATCAGATGCTTTAACAGAAAACACTGAAGCTCCAGGATTGTTACCCTCTGTGATATAAAAACTATATGGACTCATTAAAAACTCTGGTCTGTTGTCATTTACATCTGACACCACAAGGTTGATTGTTCTTTCAGCTGATAATGGAGGCTGGCCTGCATCTGTTGCAATGATTGTCAGAACATATTTTGACTCTTTCTCTCTGTCTAAATGGGTTCTGGTGACAAGTGAAAACATTTTATCTTTTAAAGTGGGTGATAAAGTAAACGGGCCATCTTCACTGACAGTACAAATAACTTTTCCATTCAGACCGGAGTCCAGGTCATTAACACTGATCAGAGCGACTGTAGTTCCTGGTCTGGAATCTTCAGGAATGGAGTTTGAAAAAGAGGTAACTTCAATCTCAGGAGTGTTATCATTCATATCAATTATTTTAATTATGATGCTTTTTTCAGCTGTAAGAGGTGCTAGACCTTTATCTGTGGCCTGGACTTCTAATTCATATTCGTCCTTATCTTCATAGTCAATCACACCTTTAACTGTTATTTCACCCTCTGCACTTATTTCAAATAGATTTAACAAGTCTTTGTTTACGTTGTTGCTAAAAGAGAAAGTCACATCTCCATTTAATCCATGATCTAAATCGGTTGCATTCACCTGTATGACCGTAGTTCCAACTGCAGCATTTTCCTTCAGGGTAACAGAATATTCACCTTGAGAGAAAATTGGTGCGTTGTCATTAATATCCAAAACATTTATCAGAATAGTCATATTCCCTGATTTGGGAGGTTTACCTCCATCCAGAGCTGTGAGAATCAACGAGTGGCTTTTTGCTGTTTCTCTATCTAATGATTTTTGAACTACCAATACAGGAATTTTAATGTCGTTTCTTTTATCTTTCACTTCCAACCGGAAGTGGTCGTTTTGACTGAGTTTATATTGCTGCACAGAGAACTGACCACTGTCTGGATCCTTCGCCGGTTTCAGCTGAAATCTTGCTCCAGGCAGCACGGACTCGGAAATCTCTAAGGTGGTGTTTCGCTCCAGGAAATCAGGAGAGTGATCATTTAAATCCAGAATTTCCACTTCAACATAATGGACCTCTAACGGGTTTTCCAGCACGGTTTTTAAATTTATCACACACCGACTGCCCTGCTCACACACCTCCTCCCTGTCGATCCTCCGCCTCACATACATGATCCCATCGTTCTCATTTAAATAGAAGAGCGGATCCACGTCGCTGGACACGATCCGGTACTTCCGGTCTTTTAGTGTGTTTTTATCTATCCCCAAATCCTTTGCTATGTTTCCGGCCACTGTTCCGTCGTAGACCTCCTCAGAGATGGAATATCTTAACTGGGCTGAGGCTGAGCACCACAAAACAACAGCGATCATGAAGCCAGAGAAATGTCCGCGAACGCGTCCTCTTTGTTCCATCCTCATTTCCGAGCGCTTCCGTAAATCCATCACAAAGGCATCATGTGCGCCGTGGATTATTCCCTAGCTCCACAAAACACAGTCTGTTTAGATGCATCCACTTCTGTTTACAGATCTTACTGCTGACCGTCTGCTCACAATAAAACACGGAGAACATGCAGGCTGCGCTAAGACTGCAACAATGATCGCTTCAAGTATGAAGAGACCGCTATGAAGAGGTGGGACCGCAGGGACAGAGAGGGAAGTCTTACTCCAGTATCACACTGACACCATGCGATCTAACACCATGCCGCTCTACACTTAAATGTTTTATAAGAATAAAACATTGTTGGAGATAACTATATGTGCTGGAACCAATATATTCACTTTTATAAAAAAAAAAGTTAATGTTTTCCTACTTAAATCAGAAAACCGCTATCC